AGTTCTTTATTTATAGAGCCCTGATAAGAAGACCTTTGGAAAACTGGAAGAAATGCCGCCGAAACTGAATACTTGACGTGGATCATAAATATATCAACAATTAAACAACATCTTCAATTTCTCTTCAAACAATACGTCTCCTTGCAGTATCAACACTAATTCAGCTGACTTTTACATTTGATCTTAAAGACAATTAGTGAAAGGGTACAGCAAGGTCCAAGGAAGAACCAATAACATTTTAGAGGGCATCCGAATAATGGGAATCCCTTTCGTGACATTTGGCTTTTGTGCTGCGTTCAAGTCGTGTCAGAATAATCGGAAACATGCCTTGCCGACTGGGAAATATAACTTGGAGCCTCCTCTTGAAAACATCTAGTAACTTGATGTTTAAAGGAAATGAAATACAACGTGCTTTATTCGTAGTGTGTGTGTTGTTTCCAACTTAAAGCTAATGAACACACCATGGAAGAATGGCATCCACCATTTATGGGTTTCTTTGCTCTTTGTTTTCTATAAAAACAGACGTAGATTGATTAAACTATTCAGTGTTTCTGTGTGGTTTCAGGATTCAGATACTCCATCTTCAACTGCGTGTCCCGACTGAACCAGGGCCAGGTGTCCGAGGCTCTGTGTGACAGCAGCAGCAAACCCTCTCAACAGGAAGAGGCCTGCAACCTGCAGCCCTGCCCCGCATTGTGAGGGAACACACACTCCTCACACACACTCTCCTAACACACTCTCCTCACAAACTCTCCTCACACACTCCTAACCAGAGATGGCAAAAGTTCACACATCCTTTACTCAAGTAGAAGTACAGATACTCGTGTTTAAAAATACTCTGGTAAAAGTAGAAGTACTGGCTAAACTTCTTTACTCAAGTCAAAGTAAAGAGGCTTTGAAATGTACTTCAGTAAAAAGTACCCATAACTAGCAGCTGTTTTAAAGAGTACCTGACCTCCCTTTATATTAATAGAACAATAATGTCATTGTTAGCTAATGAATGTTTCCATGCTGAACAACGGCAACATGACAACGTTTTCATTGGTCACACAAGTAAAACAGGAAACTGACAGACTGTGACTACTAAACAATAACAGAAAATAAACAAATAATGACAGAATACTGATTCAATCCCTACTCAAAGAGCAAGTTCACTCAAAGGAAAACACACTAATGTTATTTAATAATGGCTCTACATGTCTGCTCGTGTGCTTCCTCCCGAGCAGCTGGGACATTGGGGAGTGGTCAGAGTGCAGTACGATGTGCGGGCTGGGCACGCAGCACCGGCAGGTTTTGTGTCGGCAGATTTACGCCAACCGCACCCTGAACGTTCACACGAGCCGCTGCGAACACTTAGAACGACCGGAGATCACGAGCAGCTGCCAGCTGAAGATCTGCAGCGAGTGGCAGGTCCGCTCAGAGTGGAGCGCGGTGAGACATGCTTTTACTGACTGTTGTATACCTGTTTACAGATCTATACATATTTATCACTTCTCCTTACGCATACATATTGTTTACATTACAGTTTATTGCAATTACTTCCTATCAGTAATATATATTTTTTATTTTATACATGTTATATGATAATTTTTTACTTCTGCGCTTATTTATATCTTAAAGGTCCCCTATCATACTGTTTTTCATCAATATATTATAGGTCTCAGATATATACAAAACATGTCTCTGATTGGCTGAAACACCAAACAGATCATTGCAGCATTACCCATAATCCCCTCTGTTTCAGCCCTGTTTCCAAAGTGCTGATTCTCTGTCTGTTACTTTAGATGAAAATAAGGAGCC